AATTTCTAAAGAAAAAAAAAACATTTCATAAGGCTATAAATAAAAGTAGTTTTTATGCATTCAAATAATTAGACATATTAAAACACAGAATTTGGCAACAATAAACTTGGTGAAAAAAATAGAACATTTCATAAAACCCTAAACATGTAATTTTTGTTAAACTTTTTAATAGATTTGATGTTGAATTGTATACGTTTCATTATTTAATTAGACGTGCTTTTGATTAATAACATTTAATTTAACCATTTAAAAAGGAGTCCAGAAAAATTAAAATGAAAAAAAAAACAGAATCCCCAAAAAAATTTATTTGGAATAAAAAAAAAAAAAAAGAATTTGGGAACAAATAAAACGTATTTCATAGGGCCCTAGCATAGTTTTAATGTGTTATGCCTTCATTCGATAACCAGAAAAATTAAAATACGCAGCGCAGAATTTCTAAAGAAAAAAAAAACATTTCATAAGGCTATAAATAAAAGTAGTTTTTATGCATTCAAATAATTAGACATATTAAAACACAGAATTTGGCAACAATAAACTTGGTGAAAAAAATAGAACATTTCATAAAACCCTAAACATGTAATTTTTGTTAAACTTTTTAATAGATTTGATGTTGAATTGTATACGTTTCATTATTTAATTAGACGTGCTTTTGATTAATAACATTTAATTTAACCATTTAAAAAGGAGTCCAGAAAAATTAAAATGAAAAAAAAAACAGAATCCCCAAAAAAATTTATTTGGAATAAAAAAAAAAAAAAAGAATTTGGGAACAAATAAAACGTATTTCATAGGGCCCTAGCATAGTTATTTATTTATTGTGGTGATTTGAAGGTTGTGTCAAAAAGTTGTTGCTCTAGTCTAGTAGATTAATCGTATTCTGTACGAGTAGTGTACGATCATTTTCTTCCAAATACGATAATTTTGAGCTTCTGGTACGATACTTGGACATTTCCAATCTGGCAACACTGCTGCCCTGTGTGTATCCTGTCGCAAAATGCGGCGAAAAGTCCTACACGATGAGAAATAATGTGATTAAGGTGTTTACATGTCTATTCTGCACTTCAGTAATGTGACTAAAATAGGAATACTCATGTCTTAATTCGATTTCTGTTTACTTCGATTATGACTTTAGCCGGATTAAGGTAATCAAAAATCTCTGTTTACATGGTAGATTCTTAATCAGAGTATTGTCTTAATCGTATTAAAATCTGAGTATTGTTGTCCATGTAAATGTAATGGTTAAAAAACGGCTCATCTTGAATTTCTTATCAGGCTGCTGTTCAGCAGATCCAGTGAAACGCCTTAAGTAACTTAGTTCCCGTTCACAAGCCAACACACATCAGCAAAAGCCTCAAGACATGTCAGACACACCAGAGTGAGTTTACTGGAGCTCAGCTCTTCTCTGGATGGAAGGAGGATGTTCAGCAGGAGCAGCAGCATCTAAACACAAATCATCATCAACATCTGCAAACAAACCTTCATTTCAGCCAAACATTTGAAATATTAAAGTCTGACTGTACATTTCACACTTTCTACATCTCTAAAATTTCACACATCAACATGTAAACAATTAATCTATAAAGAAGTAAATATCCAGTAAATGTAATTTGAATACACACATCTCAGTGTCTTTGACAAAAAATGTAACTTGCAACATAAAAGTTAAATAGTGCTGTATGTATGTAGTTTTTTGGATTTTTGTTGGATTAAATGTAAATGATTTTTTGTTGGATTAAATGTACATTAATTTATATGGCACTGTGTATATATTTAGGCTATTTTTAATCATCTTTTTGTCTTCACTAGCTCATTTTCAATGGTCCTGCAGTTTAACAAATTTTATGAATCCAAATATTCCATGTAGTTTATCAATTAATTAATAAAAGCTTAATAACAAAAAAATTTGCAAAACAGTTTAAATAGTGTTCTTTTTATTTAAAAAAATCATTCACACATTTAACTGTAAATGAACTACATGATTAACTTAAAAAAATAATGAGTTTATATATCTACAATGAAGTATAGACTATATGTACTACAGTAAAAGAAAATAAAAGAAAAGTGGAAAGATTACTTACCATTCACAATCAGTTTTGTTCTGTGTCATAAAGTCACTCTGAACATGAACACATGGCTCTACTGATGACAGACACTAAAGGAAACATTCCTTCCAAACCCACAGGACTTTCTGTCTTCTGAGAAGCACAAAAGGAGACATTTAGCAAAAGCATAAAGTGACCAGTGACTGTCCAGTTTCAAACAGGGCGAAAAACATGATAAAAGCACTACAAGAGATTAGATCAATTATAAGACAGATTACTAAAGAAGTTGCAGAATATTCTTAGCATCTAAACAATTAATCTATAAAGAAGTAAATATCCAGTAAATGTAATTTTAATACACACATCTCAGTGTCTTTGACAAAAATGTAACTTGCAACATAAAAGTTAAATAGTGCTGTATGTATGTAGTTTGTTGGATTTTTGTTGGATTAAATGTACATGAATTTATATGGCACTGTGTATATATTTAGGTGCTGACACTTTTTATGCTATTTTTAAAAAAATAATGAGTTTATATATCTACAATGAAGTATAGACTATATGTACTACAGTAAAAGAAAAGAAAAGTGGAAAGATTACTTACCATTCACAATCAGTTTTGTTCCGTGTCATAAAGTTACTCTGAACATGAACACATGGCTCTACTGATGACAGACACTAAAGGAAACGTTCCTTCCAAACCAACGGGACTTTCTGTCTTCTGTCCCCAGATTACAGTGCAGTTTAGCTGTTTCTCCTTTACTGACTGATTAATGGACTCTGAGTCACTACAGTCACTCCACTGACACCTGCAGAATAAACACAAGCTTTACATGAGATTGTGTGTCAAAACACTTTTGTGTGTGTGTGTGGTCCAGGCAAACTCTACGTTGTGTTGACAAAATGTCCCCACAATGATAGTAAAACCTGAATTTTTGTACCTTGTGTGACTTTTTTTATGTATGCATGTATTTATTTGTTTATTTATTTTGTTTAGGGGATAGAACATAATGTTTGTGCAGTATATCATGTCTATGGAGAGTCCTCATAAAACATGAAAACCCAACATTATGTGTCTATGTGTGTTGGTAAAGCAGAGTCACAGCTCACTGCATCCACTAGAAGAAATTCTTCATCTGTCTCTGGTGCACATCTTTTCTTTTCCTTTTTTTAGATATGCCAAATATTACCTTAATATAGAATATAGAAAACAAACATCCAAAGTAAATTTATATATATGTATACATCAAAACATTCCTTTTACTGTTAAATTTTACATTAATTTGTCATTTTAAATAAATGAATATTAAACAAATTACATCCATTCCTGCATGCCTCCAAGTGGCCTGTTCATCAGGTTTACATGTGTGTGTATATTGAGTGTGATTTAAGTATATATTCATGAAGTATAAAGCAATCATGGCACAACTGTAAAACTGGCCGTAATGTATATTGAATTTAAGAACATTGTTGTTCAGTGAGCAGTGTGGAGGTTTTTGTCATGCTGTGAATCACTGTGATACGCTCTCACTAACAGAGCTGTCCCATGAGCTGCAATAATACACTGCAGAATCATCCACATCCACATTACTGATGATCAGCTTATAATGAATTATTGACTGAGCATTAGATGTGAAGCGGCTGGAGGAAAAACCATCCCCATATTTGTCAGGGGAGTCGTGAGAATGATAGGATCTCAACACAAACTGAGGAGCTGCATTTGGAATCTGTTTATACCAGCCGACATAATTACCCTCCTCCTTTTCAATATTACAGTCCATAGTCACAGATCTCCCTTTTTGTTCTGTCAGTATAGAGGGTTTCTGTGTAATCACTTTTACACATTTGACACCTGTAAAATTATAATAAATAAAATTAATTTAATCGACCTTGACATCCTTGAGAGAACAAGTTTAAAATTAAAAGCACAGTAACTTACATGACAGAAGAGTGAATAGAGAGCAGTAGAATATTATCAGCATCTTGCCTGTGTGACGACTGAGTTTGAGTTTAGTGAAGAGATGAAGAGAATAAGAGAGAATGAAATACTCATCTATAAGATGAGGAAGAGAAACTCTGAAAGTGGGAGGATCACTAGAATTCAGCCAATCACTTCATCCTCAAACAGCAACTGGTTTAATGTTCTTCAATTTGCATACAACTACAAATGTCATTATCGAGAACTTATCAGATCTTTGATCTGATTCTGAAGGGCAGGATGTAGCTACAAATGAATGAGTATGTATAAAGTATAATGTGCACATTTACTTGGATAACCTGCTACATTTGTCAAAAACATCAGTATACAGATTACTGCATAGAACACTGTACCACAATGCAATGCACTTAACTGCAGTTTTGACCTTCCTGGTTGGCTGTGATACTGCATTAGTCAATCTTCAAGTTATCTTAAACAGATTTGTTTGAAGGTAATAGTCAAAAGCTGTTAGAGCATGTGTGTGTGTGTGTGATGAATGAACCTTAAATAATATTTTTATTTCAAAGAAGATAACAACACTAACTGAATTAAACATGCAATGTGATGGGTTAAGATGAAAACAATGTAGCATACTACAGTTTAAAACGTTTATGCTGTTAAAATGTTTATTTTTTTCATATGCTATTTAAAAAAGTAGGTGAGAGTGTGTACTTTGCAGTATTTAATATAAGCAGCAGGCTGTGCTAGTATTCTGTTCATTTAAACGTGCATTATAATAAGGTCGTGTCACAACGGTGCTACTGGCTCACATACTGTTTTTAACTAAAATAGACGGTATACTCTACAGAATTTGCAAACTAATTGCATGTGGAACAGAGTCGATTCTGCTACAGCTCGCTAGAGGGCGCCAATCACAAAAAAAAAGAATCATTCATGACGCATGGAGACTTTTATTGTGTAAATAGCGTCGTTGCCGTGGCGACAGAGGAAATCTATCCATGTCACGCTTAGAAGTCACTCGTTTAAAAGCAGAAATCTGCGCTCAGGTTAAGTGGTCGTGGCGATGTGCTTATTGCTCGGTGCAACTGGAGTTGTAAAAACGCTTTTACTGAAGCGACTACAGAATATCCTTCACCAGCTGTTTACACTAATGTTAGATAGGCTGCATGCTGTGCTTCCCTAAAGAGTTTCTTAATGTAGTTTCACATTTGCAGTCAGGTACAGTTTGGGCTGCAGGTGATATTAAAACTGTTGCTCTAATGTTAATGAATATGGCTTCTTTATCTGCACTAACAGTTGTGCCAGATGGACGTGGATTTGGGTGAAGCGCCCGTCACGCTGCCCACGGTGAGCCCGAGGTCCCGTTCACTAAATGTTGCTGTGTTAGGAAAACAACGCTTTTTGAAAGATTTCACAAGCAATATAAGATAAACAATATGTTTGCGTGTTAAAATAAATTGGATTGTGCCATCTGCACAATCTGTTGGGAAATCATTGGAACTGAGGATGTCAGTATGATTTTTTTTGTTTAGTTTAATAGTGGATAAACATGGTACCCGAGTTGATATATTAAAGTTATTTTAATAGTACATTGTCATCTTAAATATAAAAATAAATACAAAGTATTAAGCTATTTTCTTTTTATTTAATGAGCATGTTTACTAATACAAGTTCAGAAGTACATCCTCAATGCAGGAACAAAAGGATTTATGTTTGTTTGTAAAAATAAAGATAAAAGATTATTTAAAGATGTCATAAAGATTAATCTTGTGTGTGTGTGTGTTTATGTGGTTTATGAGGACACAAATTTGTATAATAACATGGGTATGACATAGGTATTACAAAGAGAAGGTGATTTATGAGGACATTTTCAGTGTCCCCATAATTCAAAAGGCTTATAAATAATTCAGAATGAGCTTTTTTGAAAATAAAAAAAATGCAGAAAGTTTCCTGTAAGGGGTAGGTTTAGGGGTAGGGTTGGTGTAGGGCAATAGAAAATACGGTTTGTACAGTATAAAAACCATTACACATATGGAGAGTCCCCATAAACCATAAAAACAAACCTTTGTGTGTGTGTGTGTGTGTGTTAGGTCGGCACCAACCTCACAGACCTTATACTCCGGAAGAGGAAGATAACCGTACGAGAGTTGGGAGGCTGTATGGGTCCCATTTGGCCAAAATACTATGTAGATTGCACACCTGTTATAGTGAGTGTCAGAAATTTACACTATTCATCAGTCCATTTTGTGGTTGCTTTACAAGAGAAGCCCACCTGCCATCTGCTTTGACTCTGTAAAAAAAATAAATAAAATAATAATAATAATAATTAATAAATTAAAAAAAATTAAGACCTAAAGTTAAATGTGACAGAAAAATGAAAGTGAAAACATGTTAAAAAAATTATAATATAAATAAATAGTACAGAAGCCAAGATATAAGAGAAATTAGATTTTTGGCCACTACTTAAGTTCCCATACTTCCATATGTCTTTTATTTTATAGTTATATATGCAAATAGAAATAGTAAAGGGTTAGTTCACCCAAAAATGAAAATTAGCCCATAAAGTACTCACCCTCAAGTCATGCTAGGTGTATATGACTTTCTTCTTTCAGACGAATCCAGTCTTCTTTCAGACGAATCCAGTCGGAGTTATATTAAAAATGGTCTTTGATCTTTCAAGCTGTTTAATGCCACTCAGCGGGTGTTGCATGCATCAGTCCAAAAGCAGTTAAATAAAATGCGCCCATCCATTAAAAAAAAGTGTCTCACATGGCTCCGGGGGTGAACAAAGGCCTTCTGTAGCGAATCGATGTGTTTTTGTAAGAAAAAGATCCATATTCAAAACGTAATAATCACTTTAATGTAGCTTGCGCTCACTGTTGTACACTGGAAGCAGTTCCGGGCGGATGGCGTATGGAGGTCAGCTTTGCGCATGCGCCGCTCAGAAGTGATGCACGCGGAAGCGCAGGGGAGAGATCAAAACAAAACAACGGTCACTAATTAGAAGTACAAAACAAGGATTTGTAAAGAAGAATGTCGGAGGATTTCAATATAAGCCAAGAGGAAACTGGTTTTCCTTTGCTAAAGTAAGGAAACATTGCTTCCTTTGCTCCTGGTTAACAAACGTTGGTTTTCACGAGACTCACTGGCGCATGCGCAGCACTGACCTCATAAGTAATTCCCCCGGAACTGCTTCCAGTGTACAACAGTGAGTGCAAGCTACATTAAAGTTTTTTCTTACAAAAACGCATCGATTCGCTACAGAAGGCCTTTGTTCACCCCCCGGAGCCGTGTGAGACACTTTTTTTTTTAATGGATGGGCTCATTTTATTTAACTGCTTTTGGATGGATGCATGAAACACCCGCTGAGTGGCATTAAACAGCTTGAAAGATCAAAGACAATTTTTAATATAACTCTGACTAGATTCGTCTGAAAGAAGAACGTCATATACACCTAGGATGATTTGAGGGTGAGTAATGTATGGACTAATTTTCATTTTTGGGTGAACTAACCCTTTAAACCTAAGTAAGTTTTGCCTTTTTGTCGCCATCTCTGTTTGAAAACCTGCAATTGCAGCTGTGTGCGGAATTATCTTCTTTGCGTGGGTTGTCTGGCGGCACGGCTCCAGCACGGATGAATCTAATGTTTTGAGGAGTATGTGGCAGTCAGTCACCGCATCGGTGTGGATATTGCACTTTGCACTCACAGATTCTAGCTAGGGATGTGCGCGACGACTAATTTGATTGTCGTTTAAACTAAAGTTTTGTATCCGACTAGTCTAAAAGCAAGAAACCCCCAAAAGATGGTAAGAAAAAAAAAACATCTGTGCGTGCGTGTAGCATATATAAGAGCCTATATTTGAAATATATAGTTGCACTTGCCTCACGTTATCATCATTTCATTTTAGGTGGTGGTTAAAAAGAAATGAAAGAAGAGCATACACTCAACGTCGGTCAAAGCATAGCTTATTTATTTAAATCAGCTGGGGAAATGCAGCACAATGGAAAATCAATCAATAGCCTGACAGAATTCTTAATCTTCATATAACGTTAGTCAACATATTAAAACACAAGTCAAAAACAATAGGAAGGTTTATCAAGAAATAGCATTAAAATGGCTTTTAAAAACCATACATCGTGTAGGCTATATTGTCTAAAAACAAAACAATGCAACAATGCCCATTTTGCTTACTCAGACCATGCATTATTTGTTCAGTTTATCAACGTGGTCTGGTGAAAGACGGGACCTGAGGCGATTAACAATAAAATTCCTGCACTTGAAAAAACGTGCTCGGCAGGAACTGAAGTCGCAGGCACGCAGAGATAATGAAAAGCAAGCCGATAGAGTTTCAGAAAGCGGCTGGACATCCCGCACCACCACCGAAGTGGGTCTTCGTTAGAGCAATAGACGGCGCGGACGGGATCACAGCGCCGGCGGGTTGTAGTGAATGACGTGATTGACATTTGCTGGCTTTGGCTAGTCTCTAAGCGAACGCCTACGTGCCTGTATTGAATATGATTACGCATCGCTCCAGTAGAGTTATTGTAAGACAATTTGACATTACACAGTTTACACAAAACTTTTCCGTTTCCTTCTAATTCAAAATAATCCCACACCTTCTGGTCTTTCGCATGGTAATTTTTTAACTCGCCGCAACTGACACGAAGAAAACAGCATGAGAGGTCTGAGGTAAAGGTTTCCGCCCAGATAAACTTTTTTAAATAATGTATTATTTTTCAAAAGTTTTATTTTAACTTGTTATTTAAAATGTTTTAAATGCAATGTTAAAATGATGGTAATTTGAATGATAAAATCATGTTTTTGTTTTTCTTTTCTTTTTTCTGTCGTGTAATCGACTTGTTTTCAGTGTCGACTAGTAGGAGCTGTACCGTTTAGTCGACTAGACCCGCACATCCCTAAGTCTAGCCTACGTCTTGGAATATATGACTCAAATAAGCATTTTCACTGGATATTATATTGTCATCTGAACAAGTAAGTAACAACAAGTCTGCCCAAGAGCACATGAAACAAGAGCACATTTAAAACTGGAATATAATTTAATTTAATTCACGTGTTTCATAAACACATAATCCTTTCTGGATTACAATCCGCCATCAAAATGATACATTTAATTAAGTATTATACATCTTAATAAGAGAAAAGGCTATAAACGGCATGCTCGAATTTCCCACGAAAACCTACCCGTACCACTCAAATTAGAAAACATTATTATAAGATGACCGTTGTGAATCAGGCTAAAGTAAGGCGATAGTTTCAAACACTGGCTGGTTATGTACTTGCTCAAATATTGATTTTGGATCATTTTTAACCAAAAAAAGTTACGGACTGCAGCTTTAAAGAATCGAGTGTGTTTAACATTTCGCAAGTAGTGTACTGTACATCTCAGAGCAATTCAGATGGCAGAAGATAATGGCTATACACGTTGGATCTGAGTCACTCAGTTAGCATCCACCGGATGGGAAGATTGCTTACAGTCCTTGAGAGAGACTGTAGATACATTTACTATGTGATAATGTTTTCATCATGATTGATATGCATTTGTTCTTAATTTAGTTTGTGGTGGACTGTGCCAACATTGTCCAGATTTCGTCGTCTTGCGTCCAGCTGCTGTCTGTTCTCTCTGCGGAGCCACTGCACTCTGCTGCTGTGCTCATACTCTTCAACAAGAGGTCACCTGAGTTCACACTCACTCTCACTTGTTGACAACTGACTAAATCCAGCATGTTAAACATATCACTCCTCACTCCATTTAGTCCATTTCTTTCCTCAGGGATCTTCCATGCACCATTTCTTTTGTGGAGCTGAAGTCGTTGTTCAGGATGGATGAGATCATTAGAACTGCACCTCAGTCGATCACAACACTAGAGATCAGCGCTCGCTCCGGACAGGGCCTTCAGGATGTGCTCAGCTGGCTGTTTTCAAATCACTCTCATGATACGTGATAGATATGGATGCAGAGAACTGCGGGGGTCACAGTAAACAAACATCAGACAAATGTGACGTGAAGATACACTTGTGATTTTCAGTCATCTCATGCGTGAGCTCAACTTGGAGGACTTTTGATGACCATTGTGCTGTTCCAAACATGTATGACTTCCTGTGCTCTGTGGAACCGCTTAATTTGCAAGATCTAGAGATCATTTTTTTTCAAATATTGAACTTTTAACTTGAGTGCAAGAGTTTTAGAACCATGCCTTGCACAAGTTGCAGAAGATGCCAGGCGTGAGCGCAAAGCTCAAAGACGTCCCATCTAGAGCAGAGGTGTTTACTAAGTTTACAAACGGTTTACTAAGAAGGACCAAAAATTTAACTTAAATGAGAGCTCAAAGTAAATGTTGCATTATATTCTAGGTGGTGAACAGCACATTTCAGGGGCCATTTTTATGGTGGGGCCCTTCTCTGACCACACCAGTGGACAAAGGTTTGCTACATTTTGATTGAATTTTGTTGGACTAACATAAGCAAACTATTCAACACCATCAGATAAAGATGCTAGGACAACAGCCAGGCAAGAAGACGACCTCTGGTACCAAGCCCGGTTAGGACAGGACTTCACATTGGTCAAAATGCAGTTTCTGCCCTTCACCCACCAAGAGACTGATTCCTAAGGTTTGGCCTGTGACCACCATGAAAATTCCTTAGGATCTCCGGATGCAGCAGCAGTGGGTGAAACAAAGAGAGATCACACAGATCCATCCAAATCCATTCAAACCTTAAAACTGATGCAAACTACAACAAGCCCATCTTATATATATTCAGAGAAATAAGTATTGCGCAAACTCAGCTGTTAATGGACAAATTAATGCATGCATGACAGTTCAGTCTTTTTCAATCATGTTTGGACAATGCGTAACGTTGCCAAAGGTATTCTGGTTGTGGTTTGGAAGTGAGAAATGCACTGGTAAATCTTTAGTGAAACTTTTCTAACTTTGTGTTTGGAATATGCAAATAAGTTACACAGGAGGAAAGAAGGATGGGCCAGACCGAGTCCCCCCACTCTGATGGAAACAGCCAATCACAGCACAAAATTGCAATCTCCTCCTCATCAGAAATGGGTAAAGGTACCCTTCTAAAAGACATTCCTTGTTCTGAGTCTCAGTCCTGAAAGGGGAGAGACACTAACAGACACAAGAAGTTCTGAGTCTCTGGCCTGCATGGTGGGAGACAATAGCAGATACACCATTCTGAGTCTCAGTCCTGTAAGGGGAGAAAGAAACAGATCACCAATGTTCTGAGTCTCTGGCCTGCGTGGTGGGAGACAATAGCAGATACACCATTCTGAGTCTCAGTCCTGTAAGGGGAGAAAGAAACAGATCACCAGTGTTCTGAGTCTCTGGCCTGCGTGGTGGGAGATACTAACAGAAACACCGTTCTGAGTCTCCCGTACAAAGAGACAATAGCAGATACACCGTTCTGAGATCAACAAAGTTCTCAGTCTCAGTCCTGTAAGAAGAGAGAGACACTAACAGACACAAATCGTTCTGAGCCTGCAGCCCACTACAGGGAAGGCAACAACAGACACACCCATTCTGAGTCTCCTGTCCAGAGAGACAGAAACAGGCATTCCACACCCCGAGTCTCCAGCTTTTGAGACAGCAACAGATTTGATCATGTTCTGAGCCTCCAGTGAGGAACGAGATACTCTACTTTCAGAGTCTTCATCAAGCAAGACAACAACAGATGCAGCACGTCCTGAGTCTCCTTCCTAGAGTGACAAAGTGGATTGACCAAGTTCTGAGTCTCTAACCCAGAGAGGCAGAAGACACACAGACATTTGTAACAAGGTTAAGCTTGTAAACAAGGTGAGCAAACCTTCACTTCAAGGTACTTTCGTCTGCGTGTTCCAGATTAAGGACCTTCTGCACCTACTCCAGGGCCACATCTGCGTGTTCCAGATTTTAGGACCCTTTGGTGCTCCAGGAGATCAGCATCCTACAGTGGTTCGTGTTCAAGGCTGTTGAAATGAATTTCTGCTCTGTTCCCCAATGCAATGTTACCAGCACAACCAGTGGAAAAAGTCACTGCCATTGGACTGCTCACTCGACCACAATGGAAATATCACTTATTCATGGCCTATTGATTAAAGAGTTGGACTTGTAACCCAAAGGTCACGGGTACCAGCAGGGATTGTTGGTGGGGGAGTGAATAACCAGCGCTCTCTCCACCTTCAATACAACGACTGAGCTGAGACCCTTGAGAAAGGCACCGAACCCCCAATTGCTCCCCGGGAGCCGCAGCAAAAATGGCTGCCCACTGCTATGGGTGTGTGTGTGTACTATTCACTGCTGTGTGTTTGTGCACTTGGATGGGTGAAATGCAGAGCACAAATTCTGAATATGGGACACCATCCTTGGCTACGCGTCACGTCACTTTCAATTTCATTTAGTAGTTGTTGATTCCTTTTGTCTATCTTTTGTTAATATAATTTATTTGATTACACTGGTGTCTTCCTTGTGTTGATAACACAGTAAGAGGTTCTACAAGTTAGATATCCCACCAATCTTTCTTATCTGATGTACTCATAACTGCACCTAAAGTGGCACGTGATCCAAAAATCACAACGTGAGTACCCGTCACTACATTATTTCACCTCCCTAGGTTGGCAAAAGCAAATTCACTATACCTATAATTATTTGATATTAAAATTCAAATTGAAAAATAAAAAATAAAAAACAAATATAAATGATAAATAAAATATATTAAAAAGTAAATGTTGAAAAAAAAAACATTTGAAATGAAGATATTCTTCAGTGGCATGTTCCCCACCCACACTCTTATGACTTATAATATGGCATGATGGGCCAAATCAAAGTGTATCAGGGGCCCTGGTTTGGGAATCAACGTGTATAGCCATTATCTTCAGCCATCTGAATTGCTGAGATGTACAGTACAATTACTCAATTTCCATTCTTCAATTTGTGTTATGTCATAGTTTTCTAAAATGTGGAAAATATAATAAATTATGAGTATGTGTGTCCAAATATTTGACTAGTACTGTATACCATATATTTAAGAAAAGGCAAGCCAGAGGTGGAGAGCATGAACCATAAACAAAGACAAACCAGACGTGTCATTCAGTTTAATCTTCATCCTTGCATTTGATAAGCAACGTGCAACAGTCTCACATTCTTACATTCTGTTAGTATGTTGCATCAATTCAATCTGAACACCACTGTAAGTACATTCTCTTGCTGGAGGTCTATTCATTCAACAGTCAATGCCCAATATTACAAAATCATTATTTATAATTTACAATTTGCTGCTAAAATTATTGACCCCAAAAATCTTAGTCGCTTTTATCTGTCATACTGGTGTGTGACCCATCAGGATGTGATCGGCTGTTCACAGATACCAGTCATGTCAAGGAAATAAAAGGACAGCACTGAAAGTCATCAGATACTCCAGACCAAGAAAGGGACACTAAAGCAGAGCTAGAAATTGGTGCAGGAAATCAGAGAATATGATAATGTATGAGAGGCTTTGGACTTGTGCTTGGTAACAAGTGCGTTATCCTTTCCAAAAACTTTTATAATACTTAACGGTGACACTGATGCTGTGGGAGTCGAATTAAATATTCTTAACCTTTAAATTGTGCCATTTATTTGTCATTTCTTATAAAGCCAGCATCGATTTGTATCGCCATATAATGCATGGTTGACATTCACACATATGATTATAGTTCAAGGGCATTCACACATACAGTAATTTTATGACTGGAGGTCGTTGAGTGGCTGTATTGGTGGTCATTGTGGATGCTCTTATTGCTAAATGCCCTAATGTTATTGGTGCACTGCACAACTGGCCAAATTTTTTGAAAATCTGATTACAAATGGGGTGTAGTGTCGGTAAATAGTTTTCTACTTAGTTTTTAATTTTAACCCTGTATGTGCACAGAGACCGATACAAGTTTCCATTTTTGAATGATGAATACAGACTACTGCCACCTGCTGGTATGGAGATACTTAGTAATGTTCAAGCTCAAATTTTTGGTCCAGACGCAGGCGACGCTAGGTCACACCACAGTTGGTTTTCGCCAGTGCTATTTCTTTGACATCGGCTTGGTGTGTCTGGGTCTTAACAGACTTCTCCATTTCGCAGACAGTTGGTTTTTGTTGCCACTAGTACTTTAATGTCGGTTTGGTGGGTCTGGACCTTAACAAACTTATCCATTTTGCTGAAACTGACCTACAGTATCTTAGGAGATGGATCACATGTGCACCAGTGTCTATTGGTCTCCACATTACATAACTGCTCATTTGTATAATATTGAACTTTTCTCAACTTTGTCACATCACTGGATACGCCACATTGCTTCAACATTGGTCCCCATTGTTGAAAATGAATGTTTTTTGTCACTGGAAACCGCTGTATGTGTAAACGCCTCTTAAGAGTGACTGCATAGAGCAAAATCAGGAAGCTGTGAAAAGAGAAAAAACTATTTAAAAAAGTGTGTTCCAGTTTTAAGTCAAGTCAGTGGTTAAATTGTCATTTCAAAAGCTTGTTTGGATCTGCTCATAGGAACGGGTTCTGATTGTGTTGGTCTGGATCTCCAAGCGTGGATGTCGTTGACAGGGGTAGCAGCGGTTGCGGCAAGTTTCCAGGGATCAGCGGCGGGACCTGCGCAGACTGTGTGAAGGTAGTAGGCAGGGAGCTGGGCTGGTTGCTGGCAGCCATGGGTAGAGAGGCATTAAATGGGAGGGATGTGGGTACAGGAGATGTGGAGCTGGGGCGCATTTGATTAAGTGTGAGACGGGGCGGCTCATGTTGGAATGGATTAGAGGCCGATGGAGCAGCTATTCCTAAATGGGAAAGAGTCCTCAATCAATTAAAATATTATGGATTTAGACACACATGACAACAAGAAGTTTGATAATAGTCCAGTGCTGCATTCAAACCTGATAAAAACGGGTTGAAGTTCTTGGAAGGAGGGTTGGAGGGTATCAAAGAATTCAGGTTGACGAGTGATGCTCCGGTGGGACCCAGAAATGCCTCTGGAGTACTGCAGGTTCGAGGAGCTGTTTTTGGTAGACCTTCACCAAGGGAAGACATATCGAAAGGCTCAGGACTACTATGGCCATTTATATTTGCCTGACCTCCATCCATAGCTTCATCAAAAAGATCG